GGTACAGAGTTGGTTTCAGGCAGTCTGGGTCCTGTTGCCAGCTTTGCCAGTGGCTCTCTGTGACGGCGGAGCTGCTTATCGGAGATAACAGATGGGGAAACTCGGAACCTCCTGACCCTTTGGTCAATCTAAATCAGTGCAACTCGTTCAGCGCGCTCGGCTGGCTGGGCAGGCTTCTTTGGAGCAGAGGCTGGTGCTGAGGTCAGGGTACTGGAAGGCTCTGTATTTTTCTTGAACCTAAAGAAAAAAATCCTTCCCGCACGAGCAGATGCTCTGTTGGTGCCTCCCTTCGCTCAGGATCGTGGCTGCGGGGCTGGGACCTCTCGGTGTAACTGGTACCAGCGAAGAAGCGGCTGGAGAGCATTTGCAAGGACCCAGGGGTGTTTTTAGAACCACCTGCCCCATGGCAGGGACACAGGGCAGGGACGAGGTGGATCACCAACCCTGGCAGCAGCAGGGAGAGACTCTGACCCGGGAACTGCCTGGCTGCGGTGCTCTTACTGGTCCGAGCTGGGTTTCAGCAGGGAAGTGGGGCCTCTCTGTGGTTTTTGGCTCCCTGAGGTGTTTCGTTTCAGTGTTGGCAAGGCTGCTTCTCCTCTGCAGTCCCTTCACGGGAGTGGAAAGCAGAGAGCTGCACCAAGGGCCACCCCGTCACGCGTTACCTGTGTGCCGTGGCATTGACGGCAGGTAGCCTGGGGCTGTGTCGCGCCAGAGAGTTCTCCCAGCCCTGCATTGCTTCTGCCACTCCCCAGCAAGCACTGGATTTGTACACAGGAATTTTTGACGGTCTAAACAGCCCTGGAAGATAAGGAGAACAAAAAAAAAATATCTGAGTTGGTGAGTTAGATAGATATCCCCGAGTGCACATCCGTGAACTGGCAAAGAAATGAACACAGGGAGCTCAGCATCGGCGACTGTAACTTGTATTTAACTTGGATTAGCTGTTTATTAACTAACATCTTGCTCCTGCTGCTGTACAGCCCTCCACATGCTTTCTGCAGCTCAAGGCAGGGTTGATCTAAGCTGAAGGGCAGATCAGCGAGGTGAGGAACGGGGAGAGAACAGGTGGAGGGGGGACACGTGGGACTCAGCAGAGGAAGGACAAGGTGTGGAGCAGCTGACGGAGGATGCTGCTTCGTTTCTGGAGGTCGGTGCGCAACACATGACAGCAGCGAGATCGAGACGCGGTGTGCTGAAAACAGAGACAAAATATGGGTAGAGTCAGGCAGAGTTTTGGTGGAATTGGTGAAATAAGGAGCCGGGGAGACAAAAGGCCGAAGCTGTGTGTCAGAAAGACGTCCTGTAAATATAGCAGCTCCTGCTGGAGATTCACATTTGCCTTTTTGGCTGGCAGGACCATCCTGGCCCATCTTTTTGTGTGTTTCCTGCTTTGTATGTGCCTGTTTTCTCCAAAGCAGCCTTCCTGCGCTGTGCTTTGCCTCCACGTATCCAGTATGTTTGCTGCCTGGCAAAGGCAAACCTGACCTTGACACAAACGTGTGGTTCTCTTTCCTCTTTTAGCAGCGTCGCCCATAAACTGAAAAACTGGCCAGCACAATGGGAAAAAAACAGAACAAGAAGAAAGTGGAAGAGGTCTTAGAGGAAGAGGAAGAGGAGTATGTGGTCGAGAAGGTCCTGGATCGACGAGTGGTGAAGGGCAAAGTGGAATACCTGCTGAAGTGGAAAGGCTTCTCGGAGTAAGTGCCTCCCTGCCTGCTGCTGCGGGGTGGGTGCTGCGCTGCTCCGGTGTGAGCATCTCCTCTGCCTTTAGCTGCCAAAGCTTCCGGGCAAGTGGCTGAGTCTCCCTGTGCCTCTCCTTGTCTGTAAAATGGAGCTAACAGGCCAAGGGCAGCTGTAATGATAAAACCAGCGGTGCTAAATGCCTTGAGCTCTAATCAGGGCAACAAGAGCACAGCCTAGGTGAGAAAGTCCCGCTTCTGTCTCGCGAACAGGCTGTGCGGTGCCCTGATGGGGCTTCCCCCCCTTAAACCTAATGAGAAACAAGCAGCCAGATAAAACGAATTGCATTTCTCTCCTCAGAAGGGAAATAACTGCCCTGCCCTCTGGCATCCCTGCCTGGATCAGGGCAGGGTCCTGTTTCATGGGATGAGGACACCCACATCCAGACTGCTGCTTCTGTCAGCATCTCCGCATGACCGGGTGTCCAGGACTTTTCTTGGCAGCTGCCCATATGTAAAACTAAGCGGTTGTCTTTGATTGCAGTGAAGATAACACATGGGAGCCAGAGGAGAACCTCGACTGCCCAGACCTCATTGCAGAGTTCCTTCAGTCCCAGAAAACAGCACATGAGAGTGAGAAATCTGAGGGAAGCAAGCGCAAAGCGGAGTCTGACACGGAGGATAAAGGGGAGGAGAGCAAACCAAAGAAGAAGAAGGAGGAGGTGAGGCAGGGTGGGGTTTCTGTGCTCGCCTCCCTACCTCTGCGTTTGACATGGTGTGTAGTAGCTAGAGCAGCCACGTTCCAAAACCTCAGTCAAACTGTTCTTCTGCACAGAGGGAAAACTATTGCACTTCAGTGAGACACAGCTTTTGAAAAGCTCTAGCTTTTGGTAGGAGGCATGAGCTGTTGTCTAAGCTAGGCCTTTTAGTGAATCCAGAGCCAGTCCTAGCACTAAATTGAAAGGCTAGTTCTTGAACCAAAACGGTACAGAGCCCTGGCTTCTGAAGAACCGCACAAGGGGTGAAACAGGAGGCAGGAGTTGCCTGTTGAAGAGGGGGAACAAGGTGGAGCAGAGCGCCTCCTGCTCAGGGTGCTTACAGCTGCTTGGGAAAAGGAACGGTAAAAGGCTCTGCAGTCTGGTTTTCATCCCAGGAGCTGCTGAATCTTGGCCAACACAAGAGTTTGACCATCAGAGCCTTGGAAATCAGATCCTCTGCTTGCAGCACCAGCAAGGCACTCTGCCGTGCTGCCCGGGGCCCACTGGGAGATCACCTCTGTGCAGTGGGTTTACACCTGAGTGGTCTTCTCAGTTCCCCACTGGCCTTAGTCATTATAGTCCGAGCATCTGATACACAGAGCCTTCCTGAACAGCCAGCAGTGTGTCCTGGTGACCAGAATCAGGGCTGTGGCTGTCAGCCTGGTGATGCTACAAGTAGAAATTTGTCTCTTTGCAGTCAGAGAAACCGCGAGGCTTTGCCCGAGGATTTGAGCCGGAGCGAATCATTGGTGCCACAGATTCCAGCGGGGAGCTCATGTTCCTGATGAAGTGGTGAGTGTGTCTTTGTGTCTGTCACTTCTTCACTTATTCTGTGCCAGAGAGGGAAGGACCTGCGCCTGGGGAGTCCCTGCTACCTGGCATGAAATCTCTTGCGATGGCGCTGCTGCCTGAGGTGACCCTCTGCGCTGAGGCTAACGTGGATGTGAAACGAGCAGGTAGGGCCCTTGGGATTGTGTGGCTCTTAAGATGTCCCCCCGCAGCAGGCGCGAGCTTGGGGAGAGAGAGGGGAATGGTGTCATGGCACGGGCTGCAGTTTTGGAAGGCTGCACCCAGAGGAGAGCAGTGACAATAACCACGTCCCCTTCGGCTGTAGTGACACAGGGCTTGTCGCTGGCACAGGTGGGAGCCAAACCAGGCAGGCGTAGGTGTGGGAGCCATTTGCTTTTGCACCATCTCAGAAGTCCGGAGTGGCTGGGGGCAGGGCTGCAGCTTTGATTCAGCTTCTGTCCCCATCCCCGACAACACAGAGCTGAACTCACACCTGAATCTTTCTTGGGCTCACGTGCTGCTTCTCCCTGCTCCGGAGCCACTCAGGAAGGGATGGCTTGGATCCCCCGAGCACCTCGGGTACTCCGTTTACCCACCGTTTCTTGATTTTTCTCTGGTCTCCACTTCTTCCGCCTCCCTTCTGCAGCCCCCTAACTTGCACCTCTGCTCTGGCCTGTAGGAAGAACTCTGACGAGGCCGACCTGGTCCCTGCCAAGGAAGCCAACATCAAGTGCCCACAGGTGGTCATCTCGTTCTATGAGGAGAGGTTGACATGGCATTCCTACCCCTCAGAGGACGATGACAAGAAAGAGGACAAGAACTAACCCCTGGCACCCGCTCTGGCCAGCCTTTGTATAAAGATCTGAACTGTGGGTTTGAGCAAGAGGGAGAGAACACAGCTCTGCTCGGTTGGGAGCGTAGAGATGGCTGGAGAAGATGCCCTTTGAAGAGACCAGTATGGTTTCTGTGCCCTGCAGCTGCTCAACTGCTTTATGCAGCTTCACGCTGTGTACAGATTCAAACCAGCCCGGCTCAGTTTGAGGGGTGGGGGGAGGGAAGGACAGGGGAATACTGGGGGTGTTGGGAGGGGGAAATTGGGGTGTTTGTTTCAAGGCTGTCTATTTTGCAGCTTGTGGGAGAGGAAGCAAAGCCCCTTCCATGAAGGACTATCACTGGTGATGGGTGGGCTGGGGAAAGGGAGTGCAGATGGATACTGCTTATTCTTCAAAGACCGTCTCAGCAACCCACAGCCTTCTTCCCAATAGTGTTAACTCTGCATTTTTACAGCGTAGCATGTGTGTAGTTTTGTTTTGTTTTGTTTTTTCTTTTGCTATTTACTGGTGTATTGATTTGGAGGGCTGGGGGGAGGGATGTGGGGAAATTGGTCTCTTGTTTAATTGGGAAGGGAGGGAGATGAGGTCTGGTAGCAATGTTCCAGATCTTTTTTAGAACCTGAATTCAGAAAAGAAAAAAAAAAAGAAAGAGGGGGAGTGCCCAGTATTGACAACAGAACTAGGGAGACAGGGACACTGACATGAGACTGAAACTGTGAATGTCCAAATCTCTGGAACCAAGATCCTCAAAACCCTGTGAGCAATTTTTAGGGGGGGTAGGGGGGGGTGAGGGGAGACTTGTGAAAATGCAAACTTGTGATTTGTATTGTCCTGAAGCAGAACTGCCAGTTACTGACACATGCATTGTATGTGGGAGGGTGGGGTGCGGGGCGGGAATGGATTTTAACCCTTTAAAAGCCTTTCTATCCTTCTTTCTGTTATAAGGTGCTATTTCTTGAAATTGGGGGGGAGAGAGACTTCTGACTACTTGTCCCTTTTCTCACCTTAATTTGACTGTCCAGCCAGCAGCATTGGGAGCCCTTTAGTTGTGGGAGGGAGAGGAAATCAACAGCAGCACAAGACAAAAATCACTTCCATATTCTCCCATAACAAGTGATTGTTTGTAGGAGGCCAGACGTTGGTGCTGGAGCCAGATGTGTTACCCTGAATCTTCTGAGGTTGTTTTGGTTTTGTTTTTTTTTTAATCAGATTTATTACAAATACTGAACTATTTAATGTCTGGAGTCATGAGCCCCACCAGACTCCTGGCACCTCCTTGTAGGGTGGTATGTATCTAGACTTGCATTGTACAAACCTTTTTTTAAAAGCATGTGTTTAGGTTTCTGTGAAAATGTTGTTTAAATGTAAAGTACGTGTTTGGATTTTAACTTCATACCAAGCTCTGTCAGTTTTTTGTCTCAATAAAATTTTAGATTTATAATCATGATTTTTTTCTTCTCTACCTTGCTCCTTCCTCTAGCTCTTTGTGCATGAGATGAGTGACAAGGTGTAGAGCAGGTCACGGAGGGAATTTAGCCGGCGGTTGCCATTCTCTCTCAGCAAGTTTAGCTCTGATGCACCCAGGTTGGCTCTGGTCTGGGTGCCGACAGCAGCAGGAGCTTTGGAGCAGCTGACAGCGGGTTCTGATTTATGTTGACTTCCATCTGGAGAAGAGAAGTGTCATTGAGGTTAGTGTCTAGAGGCCTGAGTCGAGTCTCGCCCATGGAGACAAGAGGACTAGCTATGATTCGGGACCTCGTTTGATGTAGCAAGATGCTGCTTGAGCCAGGAGCGTGCGCTGCCTGTGTTCCTAGCCATGATCCGGCACCAGAGGTGGGGTAAGTGACCTTTACTTCAGTTCTCATCTGAACGTTGAGCAGACTTTGTCACTCTGCGTTTACGGACGGGTTTTTAAAGCTCTGGCGATGGATCCGGGAGGTGTTTGTGTGGCTGAAGATGGAGATGGCCTCGCTTTATTCTTGCTATGGCCTTGCTGAAGGCCACAAGCTCCTGTGTATGGAGAAGAGTAGATCTGTCCTCCTGTGCTCAGCCCAGCTGACGCTCCGCGCAGTAGTACGGACGGCAGAGTGGGCTGAAGCGTTCCTGGGAGGAGGATTGTGGTCCTGGCTCAGACGTTTCCAGTGTTTGCGGGGTGCAGGATGGAGCAGGGAGAGGCAGGGAGATTTTAGGTCCTGTTCAGGGCTGAACAGGGGCTCTGTCAGCCCCTCGCTGGCACTCAGGGCTGCAAAACCACGCAGCCAGTTGAAATCCAGGTTATTTGCAACAGCACAGCCTATACCCAGTGGGACGGTGAAATGTCTGCCCTGCCCCAGCAGCCAGCAGAAGCAGCAATTAAACCTGTATTAATCACTAGAGATGGAAGGGGTAACGTCCACTTAATTGAACGTAAGAAGGCTGCGGTTCCCTGGGGAGGCTCTGGGGCGATCGATCGCAGCAGGTAGCTGGAAGATGCACGTTGCTCCATCCCGGGGGCTGCGCCGAGTACGTGGGGCTCCCATGTGAGCTGTGGGCAGGCACCGGATCTCTGGGTACCGGTTGTCTCTGGCTGTGGCACTGTGTAAGCGGGATGCGTCACCTCTAGAGAAACTGAGGCACAGGAAAACAATCTCACGACCCTCATAATGTGCTCAGAGATCTGCGGGCGATGGCGTTGTGGTCTTCCCCGGGTTCACTGCTGCCCTGGGCTGCCAGAAGCGGGGCAGGGAAGGGCAGAGGCAGCTCCTCTGTCCCCCCGGCACTGGGAAAAACCAGCGAGGCTCCCTGCCTGCCGCGGTGAGGGCTCGGGCGGCAGCTGGACACTGGTTCAAAGGGCCGCTGAGCCGTGGCTCTGGCCGAGATCAGAGGCACGAGGCCCCGCTGGTAGCTAAGTGCTTCCTGCTTCAGAAAATGAAAGGTCTGCACTTCACCTGATTACGGGCTGGCAGGCAGCCTGCGCCTCTGACAGCCACGGCATGACATACGAGTGACAGCAGTGGAGGTAAGGAGCTGGTTAAGCTCCCATCTTGCCTGCCCCCTCCTCGCTACCCACAAAAAGGGGAGGCACAGCGAGGGAACCAGAGGGGAATGGACTTTTGTCAGGCTCATTTTTACAGCTTGGGCTTGCTGCTCTGAAGCCCTACTGCTGCCAGAGGCTGGAGAACAGCGCTTTGCTCACCTGTAGCCTCCCGACAGGGTTGCTGGTACGTTTGTGCATGAGCAAGGATGGGTGTGAGCGTAGGAGCGGACATGTGAAGTAAAAGGTCCGATTCTGTGGCGGGGAAGAGGCAACAAAGGGAGACGAGACCCTGGGCAGAGCCGTGTATCCTCCCCTCCTGCGTCTGTGCGCTCTCTGGACCCCGCTTCCCTTCTCCGGTCAGGGAGGGGGCAGTGACCCCATTGAGAGGGCTGAAACCTTCTCACAGCATCACCGGGGCAGGGGAAATCTTTGTGGGTTTTTTTTTTTGCGAGCCGGTATTACATTCTGAAACAGCCCCTGAAGGAATATCTGAAATAAATACCCTAGAGCCCAGGAAGAGAGAGGCGGGAAGCAGCTCCGAGTGTGTATTCCGTCGCCTTCCCCTTGGCTGAGCTGCTGCCATGCGTAGAGCTGGCCTGGGCTCAGCTCCGGCAGCAGGAGCAGATCAACTCTTCCAGTCCCATAAGGAGAGGTTTAATCCCCAGAAAAATGACATTTGCCCCATGGGAAACCCAGCAGAAGACCGTCAGGGAGCAGAGTGGGGCTGGCAGCGTGCTTTGCTTTCTGCTTGCTCTTCTGGTTGTGTCTGGCCAAGGGCAGCGTCCAAGGCTGGTGGACACGAGCGTCCGGTGGCCCCAAAGCAGCGTCTCACCCAGGCAGCCCGGCTCATGTTGACAGGCTCTAGCAAATACTGAATAATGTCATAAATAATAATATTATTAATAAACCTTGGCTCCGTAACCAATAGGGTGCGGGAACTGCCACAAAATAATGCCGCCAGATGAGGAAAACACAGCGCCTACAAGCAGCAATGCCAGCAAGGCGGTGGGTATTAAAGCCCTGGAGAAAGGCGTCTGTGACTAAAAAATAGAGCGCGCTGGTAGGGTGCTGAGCCACAAGGCAGGCATCTCAAAAATGCTATTTTTAAGTGCAGCGCTTCAGCACCAGCCCAGTCTCTTGCTGGTGCACCAGCCGTTCCCAGGAGCAGTTTTCCATCCCTGCTTTGTTCATCCCAGCTGCCTGTGGCCTCTTCTGTGGGAGCTGGGTTCTTGCCTGGCCCAAGGCGGGGAGGGGAGGCTTTCGGCAGCGGCCTGGCTTCAGCACAGCCTGCCCCACTCCCCACGCTGCTCCCTGCGCCCCGGTAGCTCTCAACCCCTTGCACAACACAGCAGCAAAGTCAGGGCCTGCCCTTGAGCCCGGCTGGATGCAAACCGAGCTCTGCTGAGCCCTGCTTGGGGAAACGAGGCTGCAAACCAGGGGCTGGAGCCAGCACCGACCTGGCAGCTGTGCCCACCGGCTCCCCGCCCGACCTGCCCCACCG